CGTCTTTGAAGTCCTGTTCGAGTGTAGCAGTTTTAAAGTTTACCTGGATTCTAAATATTCCTCGATCTAGCCTTGCATGACCAATGTGTTCCACGTATATTTTAGGATAGGGATAATAAATAACATACTTAGAAACGGCTTTCGATGTGATGGATAAAACTACTATAATACATAGGAGTAAGTGAAATAAATAAGTACTTCGATAATGGTGTGTTTTTGAACCCTGTTTGAAAGCTTTTATGAGACTAGATGTACTTGGACTTGCTTGAGGGGAATCATCGATAGACCTATTGGTGAGGTTTATAACACACCTGGTTACTCCAACATTTGTACCTGTATAAACTTTGTTGAGGACTGGTACCTCTTTTTCAAAGGGCAGTGGTACTAATTTGTGAGTATTTCGTTTCAATGTTGCTCTCCTAAGAGTTATAACACGTACTGTTCTATCTTCGTTTCTTTTGGTAATGTGTTAATAAAAATATTCACATAGTTGGTCGTCTTGGTTTACATTTTTGGGTGGATTGACTTCTTCCAGTTCCCAAAATTTTGTTAACTGTTTATCTTCTCCAGTACGCACAACCATACTTATTACCTTTATGGTGTTCGACTTAGCGTTTTGAACTAGACCTGATATTATCCATCATATTTCGGTATTTTGCGCTATTACACCATCTTCAGTTTTGAGAAGGCCAGGAAGTGCCATTTTAACATATTCTTCTGCTCCTAAAAGTATATCAATTGTACCAGGTTTGTTACAGGTTGGATGAGCTCTGAACCTATTTTGCCATTTATTAATGCCTATGTTTGGCAAGCATTCTTTTGGTAGTGTTTACGTTAGTTTGAGCAGTGCAGTTAAGGTATAGTTGATAGAAAATCGTGGTTTTACTGTAGCTTCAATTTGCTCTTTAGAAATTTTTAATTCTCCATCTCCCAATCCAGAAATGTCTGCTCGTATTCTTTTTCTTGGTAAATTTAAAAGTTGTGCTGCTTATTCAATGTTAAAGGATGATTGCGACCCTCGATCAACTAGCATTCGTAAAAGTTTAAACATTCCATTAGAAGTTTGTACCTTTACCATAGCTGTAGGTATACATAATGTTGACTGGCTACTATGGCAGTATTGGTATGGGATCATAAAATGTTAATAGGTCTCGCAACTTTTGTAAATCGAGGCTGTTCTTTTCTGCCTTTATGCAGCATACTGTGGTGGGACATACCACAGGTGTGGCGTCGGAGTGAACTATGACATTTTTCCTGTGAATCATGTATCATACAGTTGTAACAAAGTCGATTGTTTCTAATAAATTGCTTTTTACGAGTTCTAAATTTTATGCCTTTGTATATGCTATGTAACTGCTTGCAATACACGCAATTTTGACTTGCTGGCTTAAAGTAAGTCTAAAATAACTCATTTGGCTTCTTACCGGTACTAGATTTTTTTAGTGATTGGAATCTTTTTTTAATTAACTTCATGACATCTTCAAAATGTGATATTTTACTTGATTCAGTTAGGTTTTGCTCATAAATTCTGTTCGTGTCTAAATTTTACTTTCGCATTATGATACGTGTTAGTAATGGACTCTTATAGTACATCTGGACTTCTAAATTCTTTATGACTTGAAGGCTTTTAGCGCACAGCTGTTCATAATATTATTTGTATTATACGACACTGTACTTTGACAAAACGGGGAAAATTTAAATGCTTAATTCTACTTACTTTAAGTTTACAGTTATTTTTAGTTCCTATTTGTTTGATTTATTCTCATTCTCTAATTTAACAGGCATGTTTAATTAAATAAAGATTTTTTTTATGATTTATTATTTATTTATATACTTATGAAATCTAGGTAAACTGAAATTAGGTCAAACGTATTTGAACCCAACTGAGATAGGAATCCTCACGATCTCCGAGAGGTGGCGCCCAGGCAAGGTTCTGTCTAAGGTTACAGAACACGGTAAATAAAGAAAAATAAAATACATAAAAATATTTCAATCGTTAGAATCATGATATGGTATTTATAATGTTACATAAATAATATCAGATCATAATATATCATAAATACTAAATACCACGATAATATATAACCTTTTAAAAGATATCATTGAAGGAACACCAATTCTCATAGTTGCCATCAAAGAAGCGGATATTTATTTTTGGTAATACCACACTGGATTCAATACTGCCTATAGTTTTACCTGAATTTTGTTTTGTTTTTTTATTCAGTTTTTCCATTACTATTTTATATTGGTTTTCCATACTTAAGTATCTGTCCACAACAAAATACTCATGTGTAAAACGCGTTTCGTATACCATAATTTCCTCATGTAATTCTTGTATTGCATCCCATTGTTTTTGCACTTTGCTATAGTCTATTTTTATGTATGAGAGAGTATTAAAATAATAAAGCGTTCGTAATCCATAGGCGTACCTCTTCTATTAGTAGACAGTTAAAATATTTGTTGAAGTTATTCTTCGAGTATACACTTATATTTTCACCTAATTAACCTGCTTATAACTTCTAAACAGCTGAAGGTAAAAAAGTGCAATTTTTTCTAAAATGTTTTATTTTTCCACAAAGTATGTTAAGAACATTGTGTCATACGGGTTATGTAGGTATAAGGGTTTAAACTTTGACTTTTAAACAACGTTACGTTCATAAATAATAATTTTAATATAAAAACTACTTCTTAAATACAAATCCAAATCAGAATCGAAATCAGAAGATGAACTGTCGCAACCAATATTTACAATGAGTGACTCGGTCATTTCATCAGTAATATTGTCCAACTTCCACATTTTCTCTTCTTTTTTAATCGTATGATTTACTGCCTTTTCCCAGCTTTCAGGCTTCACATTATTTACAGCCTCCAAAAACAACTGTTTAACATCACTCATTTTAAAAGAATTATTTTTTCTTGAAACTTCTCCCTTTATCTGTGCCCATATCAGTTCAATCGGGTTTACTTCGCAATGATATGGTGGTGATCTAATCACCGTCATCCCACGATTTTTTGCAATTTCATCAATTTCATATTTTTTAAATTTCTTTTTATGAAGGGAACACAAATGATACAGTTGTTTTCTCACAGAACCGGGATGGAACTTAATATTCTTTGAATTTAGCCAATTCTGTAAATCTTTTTTTAACCACTTGGTTGTGGGCATTTTTTCTATGTCTCGAGTGATAACTTGCATTATCCATTACTATTATACAGTTCTGAGGAAGATCTATAATTTGTTCAAACCACTCTTTAAAGACATCAGCATTCATGTCCTCATGGTAGTCACCGGTACGAGTAGATTCAAAAGTCAATAAACCACCTTTAACAAAACCGTTTGAACTACCGATGTGTACTATTATTAGTCTGTCCCCTTTCCTGATGGTGGATTCAAACCAGTAGATAAATTATTTAAAAAAGCCTGTCTTCGACTTGTAACAGTTTCATCTTGCCAAAATTTATTTGGTTTATGTCCCTAGTTGATCCATGTTTCATCTAAATAAAATATATTTCTTCTTTGGTTTCTCATTTCTTTTATAGTCGGGTACATTTATTACAATTTTAGGAAATAATTAGATTATTCTGTAAAAATATTTAAAATGACCGTACTAAGTTTTGCATTAGAAATGCTATTTTATTTCTCTCTCATACATAAAAATAGACTATAGTTAATGCCTCATACCTGTATTTTATTAAACCTGGGTTGCTTCTTGTTGTATTTGTTGGATAGTGCGTTTTATTTGTTCCATTTTTACCATTTGTTTTTTGATTCTTAGTTGCTGTTCCACTTTTTCATTACTACTATTGGGTTGTATTACTGGTTCTGCTTTTGAACAATCTTTAAGATATTCTTTGTATTCATCGTGTTTCCCTTTTATTTGATCAAAGTACTGACGTGTAAAATACACATGATCGGCCATACCTATTTTCAAGGCTTTGAAATGGTTTTCATTTGCTTGCTCAAATGATGTCTCTTTTTCTTCAGTTTAATTTGCAATATACTCTTTTATTTTTCTAGATAACGAGTCTTTTTTTGTCATACTATTTGCTTACCAATTGATTGACTGGACTATTAATTTAATATTTTTTACAATTTTGCCCAAAGGACCAATAAATAATTTGTATTAAAAAATAGGAAATATTTTTTAATAGTTCTATTATTAATTATAAGGATATTGGAGAGACGAAACGTGGTGTTAAAAAAAAACTATTATTATCATACAAAATTTAACAATATTATAAATAAGATAACTTTAATTGATGACCAAATAAATTAAACTTTGATATGTTCTGATCAAACACTTTTTAAACAAACTACTATTAATAAAATTGTTTCTACCTTTACGTGCTCACTGTCAATGTACTGAAAAAGGACCTCATCCCAAGAACAAAACATCTTATCGCACCCCACTTCGCTTTTTTTCTATCACACCTAAATAATAAAAGATAATAGCAAAATAATTTCATTTTGAAAATAGCCTTTTCTACCACTTAGTCACTACATAGAAAAAAAGAAAAATTGTATGGGTTTAAAATAAAATTTGGGAATCAGAGACTAGACCCTATGAGCTACAAACTTAGGCTCACTCAGCCAGCTCCATTTATGTTGAAGATGACCTTAATATCATGATTGTTGAAATGGCCTATAAAATTTCCAAGAAAATTTTAATTTTTTTACCGTAGTGCCCACTTGTTCTCATATCTATACGAAAATAAATTCATATATCAATTTTGGTCCCAATATCTCGATTCAAACTGCCTTAGCCCTAAGATACGGAGGAAAAGCAATGTCGTCTAAACTCTGCCTACTTTCTGACTAACGCAGTTGCCTGAATTTGGATTTTTAATTCTGATTTTTTTTTATTGCTGAGATAACCAGACCTTGTATTGTTTTTTATTTGGATTTTTTGAAGTTATTTAAAAATGTTAAAGTAGAAGTATATGCATGAGATTTATCTTCTTTGATTTTTCTGTTTAATGTAATATTTAACTGTTTTAAGGCAAATGAAGAAAATTTGTTTGATCTTAATATGTTGTCTCCAAATATTCGTGAATCGGATACAGAAGCAAACGTTACATTGTCCACTACAAGACCATTGGATTATGAAAAGAATAATACATATGTTTTCTTCGTTTCAGCGACAGTAAGTAAATTACAATAATAAATAAACTAAAAGAAAAATTCCATAACTTTTTTCTTACTATGTACTAGCATTTATTACAAATTTTGAAAAAATTGATTTAAAATTCGTTATAAAAACTTATTTCATATTATTTACTTTAGGAAGATAAGTGGCTCAGTGATAGAGTCTTTGCCTGTGGATCCAAGGTTCCCAGGTTTGAATCCCACCGTTGGCCGAAATTTTTTATTTAATGTAATTATTTCAAATAAGTTCTGATGCCTTGGCAGATTCCCGATCGACCCTTCACTGTTGGATTCTAATTAACAGTGCTGTTTCTAAAGTGGCACTGGGAAACAGTTACAAAGCCTACAAAGAACACGAGGCATATATCTTAGAAGTAAATGTCAATGACACCAAAATAAAAAATAAAAAATTAACATTAAGTTTTATGTTAATATAACAAATATCTCTTTTTTTGACTGCTTATTACTTTATTTACTTGTACTATGTTTCTATGGTTTTTAAGATAATTATTTAATATCTTAACTGTGTATCGCAGTAAGAACAATTTTTTAGACATAAATATATCGCGTTGCGTCTAAGCTAACCCAAGCCTAGATTATCACATTTATAAGGTGCTCCGAGTCTACAGGTCCACACAAACTACTCGGTGGTTCCACTAAGAAAATCAGCTTAATAAATTTTGATACTGTTGTACCCTCAGGGTAAGTAACAACTTCCTAAATTTTATGCTACTGTTCAAAAAATTATTTAGGCTATAATTTTATTTTTTTTTTTTACTTTTTTTAAATAAATCATATACTCTTCAAATTCAAGATTTCAAAATGTTAGAACTTAAAAGATAAACTAAAATAAAATCCACTTTGTATGCTAATATCTCAAAAATTTATCACGTTATAAGTTTCCAATAAAAGTATTTATTATATGTAAAACAAAAATAAAATTATAGTCTAAATAAGCTTTTGGACAGTAGCGTAAAATTTAGAAGGGATTATGGTGTTACTTACCCATGTTTTACGTCACTGGCAAAGTTTATTTAACTGATTTTTGGTTGACAGATGTATATTATTATTTTAAAAAAGGTTTATAGGATTTATCAAAATTATACAAAAAAAATATAGACATTAATAATTTTTGAATGTTTATTACTGACACCCTATATTTCGGAAACAAGTAACATTTTACCTAATCGTGCTTCTTTTAAACACACTATATATAAGATTAGTTAAGATTTAATTAGGACTGTAGGCCATGTGTCCCCCTCCTGCCTACCTCGACCTATTCAGATCTGTTGTGGATATCCTTCAATCGTTGTTTAAAGTACCTTTTCCAGTTGTAGACTTCATAGATTAGGAAGTAGTCGACCTTGGTTTTCTTTTCCATGTGTAAGATATATCAGTCTTGTAAAACCTTCGCGGTAGCACAATACGTGTTCTGCAGTTTCCTTCTTTTCCTGACATATTTGGCATAAGGTCTATTCTGTGAGATCAATATCATACATATATTTATTAAGCCTACAATGTCCTGTTAATAGACCTATTAGCACCTCTACTATTTTTCCTATTATGGCCTAGTAGAAGCTTAGTAAGTTTAAGGCGATGCTCCTTCTAAAACCTCTTTGAAATGTCTCTGTCTTGTTAAACTGTTTATGGAATTTTTAATACATCCACTACTTTGTGCATGTTTTAATAGCTGTCTTTGTGATACCATTGAAGGGTTCTGGGCCAATAAGAGCCTTTGAGGCTAATCTTGTTGGTAAATCAACATCCACCTTGCCTTTATGTTATATGTGGCCTGGTACTCAGGCTAAGGTTAGTCTGTGTTGACTACGCTGCTCTGTTAGGGCTTCCAAATAGTCCCATATAACGTGGAGGGTACCTGCACAGAACTGGGTACTTTTAACATCGCTTGACTGTCTGAATATATGACAATGGATTTTTATTTTACCTTATGTCTTAATATCTCTTTTGTTTAGTGATGTATTGCAGCTATTTGTACCTGTAATTACTATGGAATGTTTATTTAAGCATAGTAAAATTCTTGTCTTTCGCTTAGTACTATATATACCTACTCCTAAACCTTCATGGGTTTTGGAGTCGTCTGTATACCAGGTTAATGTTGCTTCCCTATAACGTATTTCGTCTAAAGGCATGCCCATTATTTGGTCGTTCTCCAAATCTATATAGAGTTCGCTATAGCAACGTCCATGCAAACTGCTTATGGACTTTTGTACAGTTTGTATGTGACAGACCTGGCATCGCCTTGAATAAATATAAGTAGCGGTGTTACGTTTAGCATGACTCTGGAGCTGTTGATGGAGTTGTTCACATGGCCTCTGTGATACTAAGACATGCTTGCTTTTAAACACCGTTGAGCTGTCGAATGGTATATAGCCATAGGGATATTTTGGTTGTAGTCCCGTATTTTTTTCACACAAACTCCGACATAAGGTAAAGAATGTTGTGATCTTTTGGATGATTTTTTGCAAGTGTTGATTTCATGTTAACCTGTCGTTAAAGATAACTCTCAAGTATGTGGCCTCTTAAGCAAATGGAATCTTCACTCCCTTCAGTATTAATGACTTTAGTCCTGTCAATACTTTTTAGTAGTCATCAATGATGTTTAGAGCGGTTTGTGTGCGCTAGCTACGATATTGTACCTGTGATTTTGCCCCTTATAAAGATTGCCAGGTCACCAGCATACTCTGGGCAATAGAAGTCTGCAGATATTATTTTGTATAATTTAATCTATAGTATTTAAAATGAAAATTTTATTTTTAGGACAGTGCTGGAAATACTGCAAGTAGAATTGCTAATATTGTAGTTACAAATGGTTTAGATCATACTTAATGCATTGCTTTTTTTAATATATCAAGTAAGTAGGCCAAATCTATTATTTATATTTGGTATTGTCAAAGTCAACACCTTGTATCTGGACAAAATCTATTATACATGTTTATAGAAGATTTTGGTATTAAAATTGAATGACAAATTGCCCACTACAATATTTCAGATTACTTTGATCATCAAATATTAAATATTTCTAATAATTATCTGTAGTGAAAAGACCATTTTATAAACATATAAAAATATAAGTAAATTTTTGCTTATAAGATATTTTGTATTCTGGTTTGTGCTTCCAATAATCATCAATTTAAGAGATACATTAATCAATAAGGTATCTAGATTTTATAATAAAAACAGCTGATTAGTTTTTTAATATACTATTTAAAAAAAAACCATATATTTCAAATTACCTTTTACCTAATTTAATCTTTCAATATTTTACAAATCTTTTACAAATCTTTTACAAATCTTTTACAAATCTTTTACAAATCTTTTACAAATCTTTTACAAATCTTTTACAAATCTTTTACAAATCTTTTACAAATCTTTTACAAATCTTTTACAAATCTTTTACAAATCTTTTACAAATCTTTTACAAATCTTTTAAAAATCTTTTACAAATCTTTTACAAATCTTTTACAAATCTTTTACAAATCTTTTACAAATCTTTTACAAATCTTTTACAAATCTTTTACAAATCTTTTACAAATCTTTTACAAATCTTTTACAAATCTTTTACAAATCTTTTACAAATCTTTTACAAATCTTTTACAAATATTTTACAAATCTTTTACAAATCTTTTACAAATCTTTTACAAATCTTTTACAAATCTTTTACAAATCTTTTACAAATCTTTTACAAATCTTTTACAAATCTTTTACAAATCTTTTACAAATCTTTTACAAATCTTTTACAAATCTTTTACAAATCTTTTACAAATCTTTTACAAATCTTTTACAAATCTTTTACAAATCTTTTACAAATCTTTTACAAATCTTTTACAAATCTTTTACAAATCTTTTACAAATCTTTTACAAATCTTTTACAAATCTTTTACAAATCTTTTACAAATCTTTTACAAATCTTTTACAAATCTTTTACAAATCTTTTACAAATCTTTTACAAATCTTTTACAAATCTTTTACAAATCTTTTACAAATCTTTTACAAATCTTTTACAAATCTTTTACAAATCTTTTACAAATCTTTTACAAATCTTTTACAAATCTTTTACAAATCTTTTACAAATATTTTACAAATCTTTTACAAATCTTTTACAAATCTTTTACAAATCTTTTACAAATCTTTTACAAATCTTTTACAAATCTTTTACAAATCTTTTACAAATCTTTTACAAATCTTTTACAAATCTTTTACAAATCTTTTACAAATCTTTTACAAATCTTTTACAAATCTTTTACAAATCTTTTACAAATCTTTCACAAATCTTTTACAAATCTTTTACAAATCTTTTACAAATCTTTTACAAATATTTTACAAATCATTTATAAATCATTTACAAATCATTTACAAATCATTTACAAATCATTTACAAATCATTTACAAATCGTTTACAAAGCATTTACAAATTATTTACAAATCATTTACAAATCATTTACAAATTATTTACAAATCATTTACAAATCATTTACAAATCATTTACAAATCATTTACAAATCATTTACAAATCATTTACAAATCATTTACAAATCATTTACAAATTATTTACAAATCTTTCAAATTCACATTTAAAAATAAGAAACAATTTATATGGAAGAGAAATATTTTCAAATTAATGAAAAACCAGGTATTTGTTTTAACCGTCAAAATTATTACAAAAGATTTTCCAAAACAATAAAACGGAACCTAAATATAAATGAATATCAATATTTATTGGAATAATAAAAATATGCTGGTAAATTTCAAATATACATTCATTCTAATAGATTATATATTTATGTTTTAGTTTTCACAGCATTGTTCCATATCATTAATTAATATTTTATGAGAATAATCACACATTAGTTTAATCCTCATCATGTACTGGATATATTAATATTAATACTTATATTAATTAGGTAGTAAAATTTCATAATATAAAATAAATAATGGCCATAATACGTAAGCGTTAATATTTATATTTATAAACGTATTGTAATTTTTGATAAATATTTTACAGAAATGATTTGTTTTTCAAAATGTTGACGGTTATTGACAATTCCTTTCCTCATGCTAAGAATTCTTGTTTTAAAATATTAAAATTGATTATAAATATCTCCTTTCGGCAAGTCGAAATTACCATATTTTACAGAAGAGGAAATATAAAATAGCCATATTTTAGAACATTATAATGAGAGCTCAATTGAGAAAGAAAAAATCCAAAACTTTTTAAATAAATCTTTTATTTTACGTTCCTTATTTTGAAAATAATGTTACTTCCTCAAAGATAATGAAAACGTGTTTTGTTTTGAGTTGTGACGTTTTTCCTGATCGAAACACATACATTTTTATTTAAAAGTGTCATTTATGTAACTTATTTACATTACAAAAAATTATCGAAAACTCAAAATTTTATTGGGAATTTTCAATTTATTACAATAAATAAAAATCTTACTGGTATTTTGCCCACAGTAGCATTCAGGTACCTAAACCCGCAAATTACATCCGCCCACAAATAGGTACCTACCTGATTATTAATAATTCCAATAGGTACTTACTTTGGGTGTTTACTGTTTATATTTCAGTCAGTTTTTATACGTTGATGATTGTAATTCGAGTGTTTATAAACAATAATTATTTCTATAATGTCAGCTACATTGATTAAAAGCACACGCGGGAAAGATGTACTTCTTTTGGAGAATTTTACGTTTGCCAAAGATAGAGAAATGAAAAGTGGAGAAGTTTCTTGGAGATGCTCCCAAAGAAAAACAAATGCTTGTAATGCCACTGTATTAACAATTGGTCCTGAACTTTTAGTATCCAGAGGCAACCTAATTCATAGCCATGAAGCAAATGAACCGAAATTAAACAGGAAAATTATTTCTAATTCGTGTAAGCGAAAAGCAGTTGATATTTCGGAAAAACCTTCTAAAATTATCCGTAAAGTACTTGCTACTAATTTACCAGAGTCACTAACTACAATTGATGTGTCCTACATAAGAAAAACTATATACAACAGTCGTCGCAAAATACTACCAGGTCCATTATCTACAAATATACAAGAAGTGCATGATGCAGTTGACTTATATTCTAATACATTTAAAACCAGTAAAGGTGAACATTTTCTTTTAATAAATAGCAGAGAAAATAATATTATTGTATTTACATGTGAGACAAATATTCGTACTTTGTGTAAAATGAACGTCTTGTATATGGATGGAACATTTTCGTATTGTACAAAGTTTTTCCTACAATTATTTACCATTCATGGGCTGTGTAATGGATACTATGTTCCCCTGGTATATTGTTTATTACCAAACAAATCTACCGATATATACAAACATTTGTTTTCGTTATTGCATTATAAAATTTTGGAAACTTACAGTATTGCTTTAAATCCATCTAAAGTGTTCGTTGATTTTGAAATAGCAATTCATAAGGCGTTAATTTATATGTGGCCTAACACTGTAATCAATGGCTGCCGATTTCATCTACATCAAGCGTGGTATCGTAAAATTCAGTCTCTGGGATTAATGACTGAATATACAACTAACAGTGATACCGGAAAATGGCTTAAAACATCATTTGGGTTGACATATTTAAACGCCAATGAAGTTGGAGACTGTTTTGTGTTTGACTTAATGGCAAGTAAACCAGAAAATGCCGTTCTCGATAGGTATGCCGATTACCTATTAGAAACATATATTGAAGAAAATTCTACATTTCCTCCAAGTATATGGGCAGAAAAAACAGCTTTAATTACAAGAACTACAAATGCCTGTGAGTCGTTTCATTCAAGGTTTAATTCTTCATTCTACTGTACACATCCTTCTGTATATATTTTTATAGAAAAGCTTAAAGACTTTCAAATCGACACGTATGTCACAATACAAAGCTTAAGTATACCTAAGAAAATCAAAGACAAAAGTGTAAAACAAAAAATTCAGTGTTTAGAAAAATTTATACAGCGATTTGATCTGCAGCAAATCAGCAGATTAGACTATATAAAATTTGTATAACATTTATCCTTCCCAGTTGAAAAATATGTAAATAAAATATAAATATATAAAAAATATAATATAACTTATGTATACTTACTTTTTTATAATAATAAAAATTAGTGTTTAATATAATTTTTAGTTTAAATAATAATGTGTTTTTACTTTTCGATAATATATAAAAAATAATAAATGAAAGATATATCTATTATGATTTATTCAGTTAGAAATAAATTTGGGCAAAATACCAACAGGATTAAGATGACCTTTTACTTGCTGTGGGCAAATTACCTATAGGATTAGCAGCTTTAAATATTTTGTGGGCAAATTACCTCCGCCCGTTGCGTAATAAGTCTTTCTGGATATTTTTGTAATCTCTGTATAGATCAGCAAGAGATTTATCCCCTTAAATATATTCTCGAGTTGAATATTGACGTCTGTAGTGACTCTACATTCTAGGAATGGAGTTGATATGTTCACGCACAGAATTCTTAATTTTCTTTTTCTTTTTTGTGTTGATTGTGTTTTTCTCTTCTATCTTCAAGAGTAATTCCGTTGATCTTCTTATCCATGACACTGCAAATAAGTATGTCATTAATTTTTAAAAAACAATTTGCATACTCTTATTTTTTAATCTTTGTTATAAAGATAAAATGCATGGTTGCATTGTCTTGATTCATCTGGATTTCGACAGTATCTGTATGTTGGCTGTAAAGGCTGTATATTTTCAGCAATAAATGATCGTTGTTTTTCAATATTACCAAGTCGCCAATGCCTTTCAAACATTTCTTTACGTCTGTCTTCGGTAAACTTATCGAAACACTTAAATTGACATTTTATTCCACA